CATTTGTTTTAGATTTTACACTCACTAACTTTTCCATAGTAGAGAAAGATGTGACCTAGTAATCCAAAGTTTCAAACCCTTGGCTCATACATTTATTATTGTCCCTATAATAATACTATTGTTAGATGCTTCAGATAAAAAAGTGTCTGCCATTAAAGTTGAACTTTTAACCGTGGATAAATCACAAGTAACTCAAATGTCCCACTACCCTGTGTAGCTTCAAATGAATACAACCAAATGATCAACAAGTATGGTCACAGTTTTATTATATTGTGAGACTGAATGTTCTTCAGGTTGTCGGGTTTGATAGTGTGGATGATGAGTCCAAACCTGAGCATCACATCTTTAACCTGGACAGCCCAAAACCTGTGAACTGGACGGAGGAAGACAATCCTCCATACTCATATTACCTGTACTACATGTATGCAAATATGACTGTACTCAACCACCTGCGCAGGTATCTGATGCATTCAAGTACTTATTTTGCTTACCACAATACATTGAATTAATTAATGTAAAAATTATTTATGGCACGCAAACCGCTTAATGAAAACCTTCTCGGCAAAACCATTGTGTAGGCTACTTAATATATAAGTTGTTTTAGCTCCACGACTGTTTAAATGTCACTCATCTCTCCCGACAGGCAAAGGAACATGAATTCGTTTGTATTACGTCCGCACTGTGGAGAGGCAGGGCCTATTCACCACCTCGTGTCTGGATTTATGCTGTCGGAGAATATTTCCCATGGCCTACTTCTGAGAAAAGTAAGGACACTAAGTTCTAGATACTTCTACTGAATCACAGTTGTACTTGGAAATCTGTTCTGCTCGGATATAAAGAATGTTCTTATTTTGAAAATTCATGATTGTGTTCTTTGCATGTGTTAAAATCATATCGTTACATAACATAAATGTGCAAGTTTTGACAGAACAATATCGGTCACGTTATATATATTCCTGTGTTTAATATTCTTATCTTAAAACCCCTTGCAAACAGTCAAGAATTTATCAGAGTTTGTGTATTTCCGTCAGGCTCCTGTACTGCAGTATCTGTATTACCTGGCTCAGATCGGCATTGCCATGTCCCCACTCAGCAACAACAGCCTCTTCCTCAGTTACCATCGAAATCCTCTGCCTGAGTACCTGTCCAGAGGCCTCATGGTGTCTTTGTCCACTGATGACCCTCTGCAGTTCCACTTTACAAAGGTTGCAAGCCACACCATACCATCAAATATTAATTATTTTTTCCCCCATAGCTGTTATTTCTTGAGTCAGGTCTGTAATATGTTTGACCTAGTGTGTGTGGTTGTTCAGGAGCCGCTGATGGAGGAGTACAGCATCGCTGCTCAGGTGTGGAAGCTGAGCTCATGTGACATGTGTGAACTGGCCCGAAACAGTGTGCTCATGAGTGGATTTTCTCACCAGGTGATCACATCTCCACTTACACCTCTGTCAGCAGCAGCAGAAGTCATTTTCAGTAACGTTTAGGTGTTAGTAGACAGTTAGGTTAAATTTGTTAACATGAGTTAATGCATTAGGCACCATGACTTAACAAAACATACTCTAAAATTGTATGTTAATCTAGATAATTACTACATACACAAAAGTTTGGGGTCAATAATTTCTTTTCTTTTTTTTTATCATCTAAGCTCTATCTGTGAAAACAGGCCTAAAAGTATTAAGCCAGGATTAGGCCTTAGTTAAAGTAAGACATTTAATTAGCTTTTATAAACGTGCCTTAGAAAAAAACATTACTAGTGTGCATATTGAGATGAAACAATGGCACTGACATATTTTAAGATATCTCAGTGCAAGTAACTTTCAGTTAAAACTACTCATACATGCACTTAAGTCTGAGACTAGTCTTAAGCCTTGTCTGTGAAACCAGAGGTTAATCAGCAAGAATGCATTAAAGTGACAAAGACATTTATAATGTTACAAAAGATTTATATTTCAAATGCTGTTCTTTAAAACTTTCTATTCATTAAAGAATCCTATAAAAAATGTATTATTGTTTCCACAAAAATATTAAGCAACACGACTGTTTTCAACATTGGTAATAATAAGAAATTCTTCTTGAGCACCAAATCAGCATATTAGAATAATTTTTGAAGGATCATGTGATACTGAAGACTGAAGTAATGTTGGTGAAAATTCAGCTTTGCCATCAGAGTAAGAAATGACATTTTAAAATATATCAAAAGATAAAACAGTTATTTTACCTTGTAATGTTTCACAATATTACTGTACTGTATTTTTGATCAAATAAACGCAGCCTTTGTGAGCATAAGAGACTTCTTTCAAAAAATTTTTTTTTTAATCTTACCAACCCAAACATTTGAACGGTATTGTATACTAATAGATTTTAAACATTTAAAAAATATATATATTTAATTGTATAACATTAATGTATTATGAACAAAGCATTATTTTAAAATAGCTATTTTTAAAAATCACATTTATGCAGATTAAAAAATGTTGTAAAAATTGTTCATTGCTAGTTCATTGATACCTAACGCATTAACTAATGTTAACAAATTGAACCTTATATTGTAAGATTTTACCTATTTTTCCGAAACTTGTATATGGTACAGTAGTTCTCAACTCGTTGGTAGTGACCAAAAAATGAGTTGTGTACAGTAGGGAAAACAATAATTTATTCCTAACCAAAATTCAACTTTAGGACTTCCAGTTTTTAAAATAGAGGCTAAATACTTATACTTTTGTTGGCTGTGCATCCAAACACAACAGTATTGTGACACTAGTCAAATTACAGTAGCTAGATGCCAATATGAGCAGATTGCATAACATGCCCTCATTCTCTAAAACCCTGACCAAAACTACAGTATGTAAAGGAAAATATGACCCAGATTACATTACATTACAGCTTCTCTTGCATTGAGGATATTTGTGGGCTGCACACAGTATGTTCTGTGTGGAGAATCATTGGCTGCCATTCAATTTTGTACAATAAACAGTTTTGGTACAGTGTTTGGTCACCACTAGATGGAAACAGACCGTTAAAATACAAGCAATCAGAGAGAAAAGCATCTGACTAATGCATCCAAATGTCCTGTGTCAAGGTGAAAAGCTACTGGCTGGGGCCGCATTATCTGAAAGAGGGGCAGGAGGGCAACGACATCAGACGCACCAATGTTCCAGACATCCGTGTGGCGTACCGCTTCGAGACTCTGTGCGAGGAGCTGAATCTGATCACGCAGGCTGTGCGGTCAGAGGAGCTGGAGGTTGAAGAGCAGGACTCCCTGTGCATGGCTGCAGGACCGGCCAGACGTTAGAGGCATCACACACTTTCAATTATTCAACAAGTGCAGAGTGCGAGTGAAAGGTGAATCAGGGAAATCTGGGACAGTCATACTGAGTTTGATTCCACGGGTGTTTAAATAAATACCTTTTTTTTCATTTGTATTTATTTGGGTATTTGCTAGAAATGTACTGTAGTTATTTTAGTTGTGGAACGCAGGTTTAAAGTCCTGATTGCAACAAACAGAATTGCACAGGAAATGCCAATTTTATGTTTGACAAAAGCACACGTTTTGCAGAATACCAACTGAAAACACACTTACAGTATCGATGAAGGCTCCAGCAACCCACAGTCAAGCTTCAGGAAACCCCAGAAGTCTCCCCCTCTGTCACTGTGGACCTTACACTGTCCATACATAACCTGCAGTCCAGCATGAAGATCAGTGGTTTACACCGTCATAGATAATGAACTGTCGTTTGGTGTTGCTTGTACACTTGTTCTGAACACTAACAGCCATAAGCATTGGTTCTTTGGCTATTTTGTGTGAGCTCAAGTATGCACATCTCTGTCATGAGCTGTCATAATCATTTTTAAATGGATTATTTCCTCCATATTCTTGGTTTTGACAGGTTCTGTTTTAATGTGTCTTTTATTGTGACATTATTTATTTTTCACTGGTTATCCTTTGAGTCATTTGGCCATTTTTATTTGTGTCTGTAATTGAATAATTATCAGTGCTATTTATTGTAAATCAGACATGATATCAAAGTGAAATGTATTTTTTTCTGCTTTCTCTATCTCAAAATTAAAATATTATAATTATGGGAGTCTGTGGATTTAATATTGCATATAAGCTGTTCACTTTATTTTTCAATGCAGAAATAAGCTATTTGTGAGGCAACTTTGGATTAAGTTGCCGCTATAGGTAAACTCGCTATAGGTAAACTCGAAGAATAACCATGTAAATTGATAAAACAAAGTGACAGTGTTTATAATTATGACTAATTAATTTGAACCAATACCATTTTGCAGCATAACGGACTGCTGAAGTCCGATTAATGAAACTGTCAGTGAGTGGCAAACCATGTGGCCTGGAAAACCCAGACAGTTGACCTGGCTTGAGTATCAAAGACACAGGCTTTCTTTGTGTTCTGTCCTTTTCACCATCCTTTTTCCTGTAGCATGTCCCTCTAGTTTTACAATTTGGGGCTAAACTTCGAGTTTTAGAGCATCTGTTTTACAATTGCTTAGTTGTTGCGTCACATTTAACTTTTTTTTTCCCAAACGGTTTGCCTTTTAGGGTAAACAGGAATATACAATAAAATACATGAATTGCATTGTCAAAAGTTTTCAAGACAATTGGAAGAAATTTATTGTGAACGTTCGTGTTAATAAATATCGAATTCTCGGAAGAACAAACGCTTATTTTGTTTTACATTGTATTTATCATAGACTTGTATTTATCATAGACTGGTATTTATGATGTGAATGTGTTCTGATTTATCGCTCCTAAAGTCCTAGATGTATAAAATAAGAACATGTCGACTTTTTGGTCCTCTGGGAACAGCTTAAACATGACTATATGTTTAGAATTCACATATCATAGCTGAACAATTAAAATGAAATGCTGGTTATAATTTTGCACGGACAGATTAACATCATAATAATTTTGTGGGTGCAATATCCCTTTAACTTGAGTAGTGCGCGCACGCCCCCTCCTCCTTCCGCTGCCTGCTGTCTGACCTGCAAACATTTCGAAGCAGAAACGCTGCATAGTGCACGCTCTTGCTGCAAGATGGCAATGAAGTTGGCATACTGGGATATACGCGGGGTGAGAAACAGTCGTAATTTTTGCATAACTGTTGTTGAACATTTAATTGATTCTTATTTGATTTCGGTGGGTTTTTTTGTTGTTGTTGTAAACTTTCGGTTTTTTCCTCGTAAAAGTCATGCAGTTATCACGAATAGAAGATTTGTGTAAACCTAATCCATATGCGCAGCTTGTTTAAATTAACTTCTTTTGTGGACTGTAAGTCGAGACTCTAGAAATGAACTGTTTGTTAGTTTGACAAAGTCAGGGGTGCATATGAGTTTGTAACGTTACTTTTTGTCGTTTAGAGTCTCTCGCGTTTTGTCAGTTTATTTGAAGCCGTTTCGGGTGAGGTTACACTTGATCTATTGTTTTAGTTTATAAGAGCTAATGTCAGTTTTAACATTGGTATATGCAGGTAATATGTTTAAGAGCTGGGGATTCTTTAGCAACCAAATATTAACTGCATCACATTAAACATAACTTACGCTTTCTGTAATCACAGAACATTCTCGAGCCTTATTTTATCTCCGTGTCTGAGGGAAACTAACGTTATCAAAAATGGGGCACAGCAAACTGCACAAACATTTGACGGCCTAAAAACTACTCTATCCCTCGCCTAATTGCTGGTTGGTCAAGAGAATCATTCGTATTTTTTTTTTTTCGGATTTCAAATGAGACCAATATAAGTTATGTAATTGACTTAAAAAAGTTATGTCTTAAAGAAAAATCAAAATGACAATATTTTAAGGCTGCAACCGGCCGCTGGTGTGATGAAGTGATTATTATTATTTTACTGTATGCTTCATAATAATTAGTAAATCTAGAGCAGATCTGTGTTGCAATATTTCCACAGATGGATGATCAGTTAGGTATATGTCCAATAAGTGCTACCTCATAAATATGCAAATAAGAACATTACCTATTTATATAAATATGCATCGTGAAGTCTCGACCCTCTGTTAACCACTTCAAGAGTGAAAAACATTTTTCAGCAGCTGAAGTTATATAGCATGGCTATTATTTCATCTACAGCTTGCTCAACCAATCCGTCTGCTGTTGGAATACACTGGTACTAAGTACGAGGAGAAGTTCTATTCTTGTGGTGACGGTAAGTGATATGGTCATCATTGCTCAGCAGACATAGCCAGATCTTCCGTATAAAAAGCACAATGACGGGGGGAGTTGATTTTATATTCTTGTCTTGCAGCTCCCAACTATGACAGAAGCTGTTGGTTTAATGAGAAAGAGAAACTTGGGATAGACTTTCCTAATGTAAGTTACACCATAGTATTTATTGTGCAATATAACATGCAATAACTAACCATCACCTTTATTCACCAGTTGCCTTACCTGGAGGATGGTGACACAAAGGTAGTCCAAAGCAATGCCATAATGAGATACATCGCCCGGAAAAACAACCTCTGTGAGAACTTGATTCGTTTATTCCTTCTTTTTGTATCACTATAAATAGTCGTCCAAGTAATGTAAAACATCTCCATCTAATTTCTCTAGGTGGGGAAACGGAAGAAGAGCAGGTGAGAGTTGACATCATGGAAAACCAGGCGATGGACTTCCGCAATGGTTTTGTCCAGCTCTGCTATGGAGACTTTGTGAGTGATTGATTGTATAAATCTATATATTACAGTTAGAAATGATTAACTAATAATATAATTTTTTGTTAATTGATAAGATAACATGATTTGTAATCCTTTTTTGAATGTGATTAAAGGACAAAAGCAAATCATGTTACACTGAGAAACTGCCAGGAACTCTAAAACAGTTCTCTGACTTCCTTGGTGACAGGAAGTGGTTTGCTGGGGACAAGGTAAATAAGCATAATGTACACAAAAACACATTTACTTTGTCCATTTAAAATGGTTCGAAATAATTTGACATGCTTATCCCACTGTCTCATCCTGTAGATCACATTTGTGGACTTTGTCATGTACGAGTTGTTGGATCAGCATCGTATGTTTGACCCAGAATGCCTGGATGACTACAAAAACCTTAGATGTTTCCTGGATCACTTTGAGGTTTGGATTCAGCTTTTATCACACAGAAAGATTCGTTAGTCTCATGTAAGTTGTAATGTATAATGATTAACCAGTAACTCCAATGTAATTGTGTTCCCTGTCAGAGTCTTGAGAAGATTGCAGGATACATGAAGTCCAGCAAGTTCATGAAAACACCCGTGAACAACAAGATGGCCAAATGGGGAAACAAAAAGGAGTGAAAAAATGACAAGACTGGCTAGATCAAACATCATAAGTTGCACCATCAACTGCAATACAGTTGAAGAGCACATGTAGTGATAGTTGTTTGAGACCACTATTTTAAACCTTTTTTTGAACCGGCAATTTAAGGATAATTAGTTAAATTTACATCCCAGTGATACAGTTGACATTAGTATTGATTATAAAATCATAACAAAACAATCCGAAATCTCAGTTGTTGTCTATATACATAATGCAGTTGAATAGCAATGATGTTTAGATTAAAAGTGTTCAGGTGTGTGTTGCACTTTTGATTTTTGTCTATTTGATGCCATGAAAAGAAAATAAGCATTTCATTGTTACTATTTGGATTGTAATTCTACATTTGAATTGTAAACAAAGTATTAAATGCATCACCTTATTTTGACCCAATAAATCAGAGCACTTTTGTTCAATTCAGTTCACAAATTAAGTGGGGGGTTTTCAAACGTACACACACACACACACTGGTTACTCTGGTAACCTAACAAGGCAAAGAAATGTATTGAATTGCTTATAAAATAAATAGGAAACAAAAACATCACAGATGTTTATGTAGCCAAGGTAATTAACATACAGCAAAAAAAGATTAAATAGTAATCAAAAACATTAAATGTACTTAACAAATAAATTAAATAATGAATCATTTGGCCTAGCCTGCTATGGAGGAAGAGAATGTTATGATTGACAGCGCTGGATTTCATTTGTTGATTTCTCTCTTGTATTTTTTGACCACACACTCCAACCTGCAGCTAAGGTGAAACCATCCGCTCTTGCTAGATTTGTGTTGGGCTGATATTTCACTGGCCATTTTAAAAAGGCCTCATTCATCAGCAATTAAAATGACATTATGCAAACCCACATTCAGGAGCAAAAAGGTTTTCATCCTAATAACGGTATTTTGAATAAATAAAAAGCTGGATAATCAAAGGCAACCTGTTTTAATTGACTGTATTACTGTTTATACACAAACTACTGGATTGGTGAAACTTCAATGTCATCAAACATGTTTAACCCCAAAATCAAAAGCTTATTTTTCAAACCTTTTTTTGTTGCTCTTTATTTTAAGGTGTGCTTGTTAGTGTAGTGTTAGGATTATGCTTAATTTAGAGTTATTACTAATTACATGTAATGTACAAGGGCGCTAAAATAGTGACACCTTTTCTTTCATTGAGGGAAAACAAAATATGCATAACTGAATTAAACAATTAGTAAACAAAAATGACTACTAATGTGCTTATTATTTATGAGCATTTATTAATAGACAATGCACAATCTGCATGCAGTGTCAGGATCAATCAGAATGTTACAGACATGCCTCATTTTTATTAAGCTGGTATAACTAAATAACATGTTAAACATGACCACCGCCCCAGGGACATCAGTGGAAATCAATTTAATGGAAAAAATGGTATCGAATAAATAAAATCAATGCAATAAATGTAGACATTTGCATCTGTAAAAGGGTATATATCATCACTTAACAGGCAGCAGTCTGAACTTGTTTTCTAATGAATGGAAAAGTTGAGGTGTGTGTGTAGTTCTTGTTCATTCAGGTCCAGACAAGTTCAGTTTCTTGATATCAAAAACACAGCAGGGTCTTCAGTTTATCGGCGGCCACCATACTGACTGTACTCGGGCTCACTGGCAAGCTGCAAAGCAGATGGAGAGACTGATAACATTTGCCAGCTCTGCCTCGGTCATTAAATGACCGTTGGGTATAAAAACACCACAGTGAAAAGTGCTTCATAAATAACGGTATTTGTACAAGGCGTGTGTTTACTTTGAAACAAACAGAGCTGCATTACTTACTGCAATGCTCGATCTGACGCTCTGCAGTTGGAAGAAGACTCGACCTCCTTCCTCAGGACATATTGCTCTGATTTCATCCTGTTTCATTCCCAGCAACATCGCTCCATTGAATACCCCAAGACTCTGGACCGTCCTACACAAATCCACAATGGATTAATTGAATGTTATCCTCATTCATGTGGTAAAATACAATTTTCAGAACTGCATTCTGGTGTAGTTTTAAGAATAAAATTAAACATGCTAGTAGCTTACATTTTAGAAAAGCCTTTGTACTGTAACCAGGCTTTGACTTCCTCAGGTCTAGATTTCATGTCCAGAGATGGAGGTCCTCTCATATTCTGTTGAAAATATGGAGATAAAAACTTCATAAAAATATGGACTCTGTACAGCTCAAAACATTGTTGAAATTATTGGTTTTAAATAAAAAAGAAATTGACCATGACTCACTGTTGGCTGTTGTCCATTGACAGGCTCTAGAACATTCTGAGGCACATAACCCTCTTCATTACCTCTGTTTTTCACTTTCCACCATTGCCCGGACTTGTCGGTTACCTTGAAGCAAGCACAAACTATACTATGATGCATGTATTTTCTGCTCAGGAAAGGTTTTACAAAAAAAAATGTTTACACAACAAAACCTTTTTTTCTTTCTTCTGCTGAACATAAAATATATTTTGAAGAATGTCTGTAACCCAATAGTTGATGGATGTCATTGACTTCCATAGTATTTTTTTCCCATACTATGGAGGTCAATGGGGTCCAACAACTGTTTGGTTACCGATATTCTTCTTTTGTGTTCAGCTGAAGAAACAGAAATTCATATAGGTTTGGAACAACTTGAGAGTGAGTAAATGACAAAATTTTCATTTTTGGTTGAACTATCCCTTTAACTACATTGGTTAACATACAATAAAAAAGCATTTACTAATATATGATTAAAATCAAAAGTTGTATAATTGAACATGAACATGAACTAACAAACTTTTGTATTTAATGTTTACAAAGATTAATAAATGCTGCAATATATGTATTGCTCATTGTTAGTTAATGCATCAACTTAACTACAGGGATCTTACTGTAAAGTGTTACCAAACAACTTTACTTTTGATTGAATTAGTGACTTGTGTAAAAGTTGCACATTTACTTCCGGTGGGGTGTTTACATATAAAAAATTACCTGCACATTGTCACCCTTCATCACACTCAGTTCTTGAATGTTCCTTGCCATGAAGTCATAGATCACCCTCATATAAAGTGGCGGCTCTGCAGACCTGATATAAAATAAGACAAAAGTGCTACTTACCCAAAGAAATCTTTAGTGAATTCATCTGTCTATTAAAGACTACATTCTTTTCAACGTATGTCCTTATAACACTTCAAAAAAAAACAATCTGTAGTGTTATATTAGATTATTAAATTGATATCACTGTGCGTCTGCTACTACTAAAGCCTTAGTATGTGGACTTCTCCCTCTTTTTAACAGTATTTATTTTATATTACAGTTTGTTTAAGATCATTGGTTAAAGGACAATGTTTTATATTGCTGTCACAAATATATTTTTTATTTGTGTATTTCATAGAGTTCAAGTGAAGTTGCTCACGGCATGGGTGGGGTGCTCCAGGATCTGTTGTCCTGGAAGAGAGAGGAAATAGTTTGTACTCATTCCACTGTATTTGAGCAGGTTAAGATCCACATGTCAAACACTTGATGCATTTTATAACATCCTTAGTCAAGCCAAGTCAAGTCATCCTCATTTATATAGCGCTTTTAACAATAGCTCATTAAGTTGGAATTTTCCCCTTTGGGAGATTTTACCTGTTCAGGCACCCTCTGGTTGACTTTCCTGGATGGGAAGCGCTCGCTGTTGCTCCGTGAGAGCTGCCTGCTGGCTGGAGGAGACTCGGATGGGCCGGGCGGAAGGGGCTGCCAGCCGTCGTAAAATTGGGGATAATATGGAGGGATAAGATTCCCATTTGGCAATTTGGATCTGATTGCAAAAAAAGATGTATTTAAAGAAAAATCATGAGCTTCTGCTTGTGTTTGCTAATTAATTAAGTAATTGAATTGATATATTCTGGAACAGAAGACCTTGGGATGTTCCACACATCACCCAAGCTTCCCCACAGTTGGTCCTCATTTGGTGTGACAACACTTCCCAGGAGCTGCAGGGCTTTTTCTGTGAGCAGTGGACTCAGCACTGAGGGAGGGATGTTGGGAGGATACCGACTCACCATCTGAAACATGAAGAAACTCCCTGACCTTTAATAATGTCTTCACTACCTTTCTGGCCCTTGAAAGTGGTAGTTACGTAGCTGTCAATGGATGGACAGAAAGCTCTCAGATTTCATTAAAAAAATCTTCATTTGTGTTCCGAAGATGAACAAAGTCTTACGGGTTTGGAACGACATGAGGGTGAGTAATTAATGACAGAATTTTCATTTTTGGGTGAACTTTAACCTTGTCAAAAATGTCAGTGTGAACAAATGACTAAATCCATCAAAAGTAAAGCTTTTTCTCTGGGCAGAAAGTGCATACATGCTTATACAACTTGTGCTTTCTTATACACTGCTAGGCTTTTGTAAAACAGGTAACCAACAGCTCAGGTGTGGTCATACTGACTCACTATCTGTAGCTTCAGGGGAACAAAAGAACTTTTAACATGCAGTATGAAAGAATGCTTGTCCAATTTCACTACTTAATGGAAAAAATGTATGAAATGTGACCGCAATGCAAACAGACTGAACAAACAGATACTTACAAAAGCAAGGGAAGAGAAGAGACTGTGAACAAAGTCAGAAGCAGGAGGATTTTTTAGGTGACCATCCAGCTTCCCCTGTCACAAGTAGAGATGAGTATGAAAACTGACATTTGCAACAAGGATACTATATGTCTCATATTAAGCATTACAGAGCAGTATTCTGGGCATACAGTAAGTCCAGTCGTGTTAAAAAATGACATGTGGAAAAAAAGAAAACATTTGGAAAATGTCCAAAAATCTTTCAATCCATTGTACTTTACATGCTGAAACTAGAAGGGGGTAGTAATCAAAAAGTATTGAAGTAGACTATTGTTATCTTAGAATAAGATTGTTATCTTGTTATCTGTGAATTATCACAGAAATTAAACTTGTATAACTTACCAGAAGATTGAAGCCATACTTTATCTTCTTCAGGCAGGATATGTATTCCTCCACAGTGGGGATACTTGCAACTATAATAAAATAAAATAAAATACATAAATAAACTTTTATATCCTTAGGAAAATGAAATAGCAAGTATCAATGTGTCAGTTGGTCACCGAATTTTGGAGCATTTTTCTTTTTATTGCTTCCATCATCTTTTGCCAAAGCTGAGCCTACTTTATATATGAAGGTCTCAATGTCGGCTGCAACATGGTTAAAGATCTCCTGTAGAGAGTGATTAAATGGATGGAAGAAATGTCAATAAAATGATGTACTGTATGAATGGATGGATTAATAAAACAGCGTGTTAGTACGAGGCTTGTCAATAAAAACAACCGACCGCATCTCTGTCCACATCATTTACTGGAGGTGGAACGTGCTCTGGCTCAGACTGCACTGGCCTGTAAGGGGCTTCATCTCTGG